AGGTGACCATATTCATTGCAATTGTAGCATTTTCTTGTTTTAGACTTGGATCTAGACTTACCCCTTCTCTGGTTGAATTTTCTCACATTTGAGTTATCATTGTTAGCATGTTTATGGTTTTGAAACTTATTCAAAGTTCTACCCCTCACATGCATAACCTCCCCAGAATTTTTATCACTCTTAGAATTTTTCAACTCTAATTCCTTACTCTTAAGACCATTCACAACAACATCAAGAGAAATATTATCCCTACCATATTTAATTGCAGATTTAACATCACTGTAGGAATCAGGAATAGCATTCAAAAGAGCAATAGGGGTGTAGTCATCAATATGTTTATCACCGGTTAATTTAATATCAGAAATCAATTTGGTGAAAACATCTAGATTTTCTTCTATGTCCTTAGACATATCCAATCTAAACTTGAAAAATTTTTCAAGTAAGAAAATCTTATTTGGCAAAAAAGTTTCAGTATAAAGTTCATCAAGTTTATTCCAAAGATCTTTAGCACATTCCAAAATACCAACTTTTCTGATCACACAGTCAGTTAAGTTTAAGTAAATTATGGAACAAGCAATTTCATTCATTTCAACTCTTTTTTCCTTAGCGTCTGTTTCTAGATATGAATTACTCACAACCCTATAAACTTTTTGATGAACAAGAACACACTTCAATTTTTGTTTCCAAATACTAAAATCAGTTTTTCCATTAAAAGGAGTCAAAGCATACTGATTCATAGTAGACATATCCACTAAGGAGAAAAATGATCAAAAGATCACCACAAAGGAGAAAAAACCCACAAAAGAGAATAAAAAACTGAAAAAATCAGCAACACAGAAGCACGTAGAATCTGGCCTAAATTTTCCAAATTTGGCTCACGTGTGTGAAGCAATCGCACGAACAACCCAAGATTATTATGTTAGCAAAAATTGCTTACTCAATCCCGTTGTTCTTTCACACGAGCACAAACTATAGTGGAATTAGGCAATCGAAAGTAATGCAGCGGAATTAAACAACCCTAAAAAATGCTACGAAAGCAAAGGGATAAAGAGTGGTGTACCTGGGCGAATCTAATGCCTAGATTCGACTTACCTATTCCACGGAGGAATGAAATTGAGAGTGCCGGCAGCGGATGATTGAACAGCCGTTAGGATTTTCTGCTTCTCCTCCTCCGGCCTGCGCTTTCTTCTGCTCTAACAGATCCTTTCTTCTTCTTTTTCGCCGGAGAACAACGGCTAACCACAGAGGACGCGGATAATCCGAGAAGGAAACAAGAAAAAATCACTGTTTTGTTTCTTGTTTCCGATTCAAGCTCAAGAGACGCAGAAGAGATTTTTTTTTCCTTTATGGGTGAAGTGCACAGACTAAAGGAATAAAACAATGATTGATGGCTTTGAAAACTTGACCGAAGGAAACAGAACAAGAGAAAAAAAAACAACCCCCTTGCCAATGAACAGTGAATCCGAAAAATGGAACAGAACACCCACGAAAATAAATAAATACTGAGCACAAAACTAAGCTCTGATACCACTGTTATGTGTATTTATTTATTCTGATTAGGCTCAGGTCATCCGTAAAAGACGGTCCGTAGTTGTGCACTACAAAGGTACCAAAAGGAGCAACACCCCAACCCAACCTCGCCACACTTATTGTTAATTTATTTGGGTTGGCCCAAACATATTAATAATATTTGACACCCAACCCAGCAGCCCATTTACTCAAGCCCAATCTATACTCCTTAACCTAATTAAGCTTGCCTTAATTACCACCCTAATCTCCACTATATATTGAGGGCTTGCCTTTGTGTTTCTACACCGTGCAAAAATCCTTCATCTCTTTTGTGAGTCTTCTTGTGGGTTTTTTCTCTTGCTCTGTGTGGTCTCTCTGTTCTTCTCCGTTTTCTTTGTGAGTGGAGTGTGGCGAGGTTGGGTTGGGGTGTTGCTCCTTTTGGTACCTTTGTAGTGCACAACTACAGACCGTCTTTTACGGGTGACCTGAGCCTAATCGGAATAAATAAATACACATAACAATCACATCACTTTTCTCTCGCTCTCTCTCTTTGTCTTGTTTTTGTTTGTTTTTGTTGTATCATCTTTTTCTCGTCCCCTCCCTCCCTCTATTCACATCCCACTTATAGTCCCAAACTCCCTCAAGTGTCATTTTCCCACATATGCTTCACACAAAAGAAACAACACCAACATCCACTACTTCACCCCATTTTTGCAAATATGCCATTTCTCTCCTCCATCATAATCATCATCTATCCCACATCTCCACCAGTCCTAATACTTCATAATCCCCTTCAAAACAAATACCCTAAACTCTCTCTCATCTACCTCTAAATCAACAACCACCCCATATTCTTCCATGCTACCATATATATTAACTAGAAAAAGAAAAAACCTAATAAAGCTTATTAAGTGTGTTTATCTTATTGAATAGTAGTAAGTGGTGGCTTGCCGGAGGAGGATGGAGCTATTCCCGGCGGCACAGCCAGATTTGTCTCTGAGGATCAGCCCGCCGACCGGAAAACCACCGGGAACAACCCATGATCACAAAACAGACCTCGGGTTCTTGCGGCCGATTAGGGGAGTCCCCGTCTACTACTATAATCCCACACATGCTTTCCCTTTTAGTTCTCATGTTGGCAATAATAGCTTCCTTACGACTGATCCTCCAGCAGAAGCTGCCGTGCCGCCGCCGTCTAGCGGCGGCCACCGCAACGGTCATCCAGCTGCATCGGGGCCGGGGGGAAATCGGTCAGGGTTTCGGTGGTCATCGAGATTCCCAGCGAGACGGAGGACGAGAAATCCAAGGATGCGATGGACGAGCAGTCTCCATGCTCGGTTCGTTCACTCGGTTGAGCTCTTGGGTGGCCACGAAAGTATGCTGTACACTTCATTCCTTCCCTATTTACTCTCTTGCCTTTATCTATTTAAATGCTTAGTACCAATATTTTTTAACTTTCACCGTAAATTATAAAAATATTTGCACTAAATAGCACTAAAAGTTAAGTTTTATATATCTATACACACACACTAATTCAATGATTTCAATCCCAGTTTATTCCTCCAATTTGGCGTTTTAAAGACAAGGTGGATGAACTTCAAAATTCAATTTTAAAAAACTACGGAGTATAATATATATTAATATAAAAATGATTTAATTAAATTTAATCTATTTAAAACTCTCAAAATTTTATTTTATTATATTAATAGGAAATCTAAAATGAGATTAATTAATATTAAAAATTAGAAATCACTTTAAAGAAGACTAAAACATAGAAAAGTAATAAAAAAGGACTTCCATGTTTTTATTCATGAAATAGGAGTTCGCACTATGATAATGTGGAGGTAATGAGGTACTGTACACGTGCACATTACTATACTTTTTGGTAATGTACATGGCCACGTTTGGTAATGTAATGCATTTAGACTCCTATTTCGGGAATAAAAACATGGAAGTCATATTTTGGTATATATTTTCAATGTTTTACTCCTACTTTAGTCTTTTTCCCATTAAAAATTTGCCCAATTAAAGTTAAAAAAAGGCAAACAAAATGAATCCATTGGAACAGAGGGAGAATTACGTACTCCCACCGTTCTTAAATAAGTTGTTTGCTTACTATTCATTAGGTCAAACTTCATTCACTTTTTTTGTCTATTTTTGTCAGTCATTTCATAAAATAACATAGTAATAATATCACTAGTTTTGTTTTTAAATTTGTCATTTTTATTTTTAAATTCTATACCATTTTTCATATAAAATGATTAAAAAATTTTTTAGTCAAATATCGTAAACCGAAACAGTGAATTTAAATTGGGACGGAGGAGTATTAAATAGTGATACAGAGTATAAAATTTGAGGAATTTACTTCAATAACACTAAAACATAATGACTTTCTCTAAATAGCACCACATGTGTTTTTCTTTCCTATGTAGCACTTTTAGTCATTATGCATTAGTCATTATTCAAGTAAATATTTGCCATCACAGGACATTATGGACATTATTAAGCGCTATTTATGGAATAAAATAATTTAAGTGCTATTTAGGGAAATGACTACTGTAGTGGGATTCAACTGAGTTGTTGTTGTTGTTGTTAGGGAAATGACTTAAATTTTAGTGCTATTTAGTGCAAAGATTTCATAAAATTTACTATCAATACAATAATTTGACCATAAACAAAGATAATTTTGGAATATATTTTTGAAAAATTATATTTTCATAACATACGAGAGTAGAAAAATAGAAACATCAATGCTCAAATTATTACTCCCTCTGTCCTAAAACTTTCTTCCCAGAGCACTATTCCAACTTCACGGGAATTTATATTTATTTGCGTTTTTTCATGGCCTATATGATAAAATAAAATATTTTTGTCACCACTTGTTTTGTTGAACTTTTGATGTAGTTTTTAAATATGTATGTTTTATTTTTTATTTCTATACCAATATTTAAATAAAATAGATTGAAAAAATTTGGGATTTTTTTTCGTTTTGCGCAACGGGAAGAAAGATATAGGACGGAGGGAGTACATGAAAGCTAGCGAATAGCATATATGCGACGATGGAAATATTATTTATAAATCGTCTTTATTAAGTTTATTTCCCATTGAGCTTTTTGCAATTTAAAGATAGTTAATACGTAGTATTCCGTAATTACGAGTAGAATTAATTTTTCCTCATGCTTGTGGAAATGGGTAATCGTTGTGTAGGAGCAACACCCAAGTCAGTTCTGGAGCTAATGGACGTCAAAGATCTCACCTTGGCTCATGTAAAATCCCATTTACAGGTAATTAATTCAAATGGTTTCTTCATTTAATTTTACTTTGAAATTACCTTTGTTTATATCCGGAGGAGTATTTTGAAACTTCAACCTCTGTCAAAAGTTTGGGATTCGGAGTCTTACTGTCATAGGCAAGTACAGACTGCTTTTGTTGATGGGTGTAAATCTGCACAAACATTCCAAATTCCAATGTTCCTTTTCACTGGACTCTGGTCTTGGAGTACTTAAAAATGACCAAATGAATTCATGGAGTTTAAAAATGTTTAAAAAAAATACTCCGTATTTTTCATTTTCAATTAAATTCTTGTTTTTATATTTACTACGTAGTAACTATTAAGTTATACTTTCTTCATTCCCAAATAAACTTACCTTTTTGATTTTTTGGAAAATTAAGGGAGAGATATTTTGGTGTTAACTTTCCAAAAGTACTCTTGATATGATGTGTAAAAGTAGGATGTGATATGTAGATTATTAGTAAAAATGTATGATGTGATAGGTAAGGTATGAAAAAGAAAGGGGTAAAAGTGGTTTTTTAATAGAAAAGAGAAGTTTTTTAAGGACAAAAAAAACAAAAAGGGAAGTTTATTTGAAAACGGAGGGAGTATATCACATTATCTTTATTATTACTCTATCACTTTATATATAAGTTATCTATCACATTATATAAGTAAGGCAAAATTGGAAGATATTACTAAAGTTAATTACATACTCCATCTATCCCAAAATGTAAGCGACAGTTACTATTTCGGTCTTTTAATAACTTTTGTTTGTTTATTTGCTTTGACGGTCCACTTGATAAAATAAAATATTTTTATTGCATCTTGTTTTGAAAAACTTTGATCTATTTTTTAAAGCTGTAATTTTTACTTTTCATATGGGGGCATTTGGGGCATGCTATTCTTACACCAATACTCATATACAACAATCCTGCAACAATTTAATTGGGGTACCAACGAAGTCTCGTTCATAAAATTGATAGTTTCTACCCCTCCTAACACCCTCCTAAACCTCACTCAGCTCCCACCACATCCCCCGCACCCCACCCCCTCCCTGAATCACTGTTTTGGCAGTTTGATGTGCAGGAGGCTGGGGTGGGCGTAGGGGCGGGGATGGGTGAGGGTTTAATTTAGAGGATATTGAGGGCAGAAAATTTTAATTTTACGAACGAGGCATCGTATAGAACTGATTGGACGGTCGACTAAGAGAGATAAATTAAGGTTTAATCTCAAGTTGGGAAAAACCTCAAATTTTTTTCCTGTAAGAGCATAAAATCTTTTCCGGACCAATGAGCATGCACAAATTTAAGCTTCTACTCCCTCCGTCCCCCTGTATTTGTCCACTTTCATTTTTACACACCATCCAATGCACTTCTTTAATCCATTTTATCTTGTAATTTGTATATTAAAAAATTATAAAAATTATATATTAATAATCTATATGTTAAGACAAATCAAATAAGATCACACATGACTATATTTAGGCTTACACATTGAGAGAATTTGATGAGTCAAAGTGCTTAGATGAACAGTTCCAAAAATCAAATGTGGACAAATACAGGGGGACGGAGGGAGTAGTTAAATTAGTTTCTTGACCTAGTATGGTCAGAGCCTTTTTGGCCTTTAGGTTATGAGATCGAACGTCACTATCACCCAATTAAAAACTAATATTCACGGGCAAGACTCGAAAATCTACTTGTTCATGAACATGTGACCCAAAATATTTTTTTTATTATCTAAATAGATTCTAACGATAGAATTTTTTACTTTTCATTATCGTTTCTAAATTTCAAGAAAAGTAAATGGTAAGAGTTGAAATGGAACCGTATTAGACTCCCTCCATCCTAAAATGATATTCCATATTCGAACAACCTGTAAAATTCCATTTTTTAAACTGATATTATTTATAAGTTGGTATAGAAATAAAAAATAAAAGTTATGTATTTAAAGACTACATAAAATATTATAGAAAAAAGAGCTAGATGACAAGTTCAATGAAAATATGTGTACAAATAAAAGTTAACGAGAAACTATAATAGTAATTAAAGAGGTAAATCTTTTGGGACAGAGAAAGTGCCAGAGTGGTAAAAAGGGTGTTAGGAGATTTATTTAATATTTTTGAAGGGTTGTGAGAGGGAAGATTCTAGAGAATTATAGGAATTGGTGGAGATGTGTAAAATTCCTTAGAATTGTGCAGAAGAATTAGTTAGAAGTTTCTAGAATATCCCAAAACTTTTTAGAGAATTAAAGTATGAAAATCTACAGAAGTGTGTGGAAAATGTAGAATTCTCTAGAATATTACTTCCTCCGTCCCACTATATTTGTCCACTTTCATTTTTGCACACCATCCAATACACTTTTTTAATCCATTTTATCTTGTAATTTGTATATTAAAAAATTATAGAAATTATATATTAATAATCTATATGTTAAGACAAATCAAATAAGATCACGCATGACTATATTTAGGCTTACACATTGAGAAAATTTGATGAGTCAAAGTGCTTAGATGAACAGTTTCAAAAGTCAAAAGTGGACGAATATAACGGGACGGAGGGAGTATAGAACTATGTGGAGCCCTCTAAACTCTTCTAGAAACTTATGGAAGCTTGTGGATCGGAGAAGTCTTGCCATGATAATGAGTATAAATAGGGGAGTAAATGTCATATTTTGTACTCCCTCCGTCCCTAAATATTTGTCACACTTGTATTCCCGAAGCAAAATATCAAGTTTTTCAATTCGTTTTATTTACATATTGGTATAGAAATAAAAAATAAAATTTACATATCAAAACACTACATGAAAAGTTCTTCGAAATAAAAAGTGTCAAGAATATTTAATTTTGTCATCAAATAACCAATGAAAACATAGAAATAAACAAAAGTTCCTGCGATTGCTGAAAAAGCAAGTGTGGCAAATGTTTTGGGACGGAGGGAGTAATCTTTTTTGTACATTTTCTATATAATCACTTTTTGAAATCATGTACTCTCTCTGTTTTATAAAACAGTTCCTATTTTCACTTTTAGGAGAAATAAGGAATGTATATATATATATATATATATATATATATATATATATATATATGTATGTATGTATGTATTTATGTATGTATGTATGTATATATGTATGTATGTATGTATGTATGTATGTATGTATGTATGTATGTGTATATATATATATATATATATATATATATATATATATATATATATATATATATATATATATATATATATATATATATATATATATATACACATACATACATACATACATACATACATACATAC